TCGCGACGTCTGCTTGGATGTGTCCTATACCTTTGTTGGCTACATCGACTTGAGAGATGATATAATCTACTGGTATGTGTTTTGGGGTGACAGCAAAATTCAGTCCCCTAGCCAGTACTGTTTTCAGTTTGTCCGAAATCGGGGTGCTACTCTGAAAAAATGACGATTTTGTTAACATCTAGTTTTGTGATCTGTGGAACCGGGTTTTTCTTTGATAGGTGGTTGAATTTAGAAATCAGGTTAGCTTTGCATTTGACTGACAGTGACTCAGCAGAAGAAGCAGTCATGTTGTCTACGTGATTCCAATCAGGTGACATTTTTTGTGTTAACATTAAATGAGCTTGTAGGAGAGTCCTGTCTAAAGTATCGAGTTCAAAACGGAGTAGTCTTATCCTCTCTGAGATTAAAGATAGGATGGCCTTAAGCAGAATCTGTTTAGAATTCGGAGAAGATACAGCAGCAGAAGTGAGTGTGAAAGCGATGGGTATTACCTTGTGATCGCGGCATCTTTTGAAGAAGGTCAGCGTCTCGATGAGTTGCGACTTCTTGTCCCGTTGTCTGTTAAAAGCTCTAACAGATACGTGAAAACCCTCCCCATAGAGGTTATCAATTCTAGATTTAAAGCTTTCGTGACTGCTAGGATCCATACTCTTTGGTTCTATTGGGTAAAGTCACGTAGGTAAAAAATAAAACAAGAAAAATCACGACGTTTCGGCCACAACACAAGCGGCCTTCATCAGGTGAAGGGACGAGACTGTCTGGAGTACAGCGCTGGAGTGGAAGAAGCCACGCTTAGATCACGACCTTTAAGCTGTGTGAGAAGAAAAAGACCACGCGCCTTGACAAAGGAATTAGCATATAATTTAGCATTGAAATGGCTCATTGAAATAGCTAAGTTAAAGTATACACATCCGCAGAGGTACCCCTTGACAAAGGAATTAGCGCTGGAGTGGAAGAAGCCACGCTTAGATCACGACCTTTAAGCTGTGTGAGAAGAAAAAGGCCAAGTGCCTTGACAAAGGAATTAGCATATAATTTAGCATTGAAATGGCTCATTGAAATAGCTAAGTTAAAGTATACACATCCGCAGAGGTATCCCTTGACAAAGGAATTAGCATCGAATTTAGCATTGAAATAGCTGAGTGATTAGCTTGTAACTGGTCACAGAAATAGCTATGTTAAAGATAGAGCATATACATTCACCGAGGCACCCAGTACTCATCAAACAGGATAATTTAGCGAAACACAACCACGCTCAGACATCGGACCTGTGTGCGAGCAAACAAGGTGTTCTGACAAAGAAATTAGCATAAAAATTAGCATTTCATTGGCGGATTTTAGGAAACAGGTGGTGTACGTGCCGGTGGACTCGCAGTTTGGCGCGGGGGGGGGGGAGGGGGAGGAGGGAGGGGGGAGTTTACCTATTGATGGTGTGAAGAGGGGGAATTTATAAGAGCTGCGAAAGTATGGGGTACCACTACTTGAAAAATATACTGTACCATTGAAAAATTAGCTTAATGTTTGGTTCGATTTAGAACATCTTTCCAATGGTTGCTTAATTTTAAACCATATTCTCGGTTGAAATTGTGTCTGTGTTTGTAGATCTGAATTGCCTCGTGAACAAATCTCTGATAAAAACCCGTGGGTTTGCAAAGAACCTTGGTATCGGAGAAAATTATATCGTGATCACCCACAGCGTTGTAACAGTGATCAGCTACGGCAGAAGAATTCGTTCTGCCGTGTTTCAAATCTGATTTGTGCTCGCGAATTCGGTCAGAGACATGTCGCTTCGTCTCCCCGATATAGCAATACAAATTGAGTTGTATCTGCGGTGATTGCTATATCGATTAGCACAGTTGGCTACGTATGGTACGAAAGAAGTTCAACACACACACACACACATGGACCAGAGGTCACTTCATGGGATGTCAGAGGTAGTTGTGTGATATCTACTTCTGTGGGCCAAACTCTTAACACGAAAGGTTGCGCTGCACTTTGAGGGATTCAGTGGATTATGAATCTCACGACATGTTGCCACTATAAGGGTCACAAACATCTGGGTTCAATGCCTGGCTATAAGTCTCATCAACACCGATGTCCAATTGCCACCAGAACGTGATACAGCTGCTCACTCCCAGCTACAAACGCTCTGATAGTGCATTGTCTTTGTACTGTTCACATTTAGGCATTCTCTGGTCTGATACTGGTGAGACGAGGCCATAGAGAAGTCTGTCCTATGGAGTAGAACAGGGGTCGGGAACCTTTTTGACTAAGAGAGCCATGAAAGCAAAAAATTTGGAAATTTATTTCAGTGAGAGCCATATAATATATTTTAAAAGTGAATTCAACTAAATGTCAGTATAATAAGCCTCTGAATTTATTCTTTTAAATGTTGTTATAACACTCACCATTAATGCGACTTCTGGTGCTGCATGGATTTGCTGATGTCTTTGTAGTCGGGTTGGTACTTGGTGAGGTTAAGCTTCATGCAAGCGTTGAGGCTTTCATCCGTTAAACGTGATCGTAGGTTGGACTTGATGTTTTTAAGATGTGAGAATGACTGCTCACATGCATACGTAGATCCAAACATGGTCAATACAGCAATACTCACACGCTGCAGTGTGTGGTATGTGACAGGAAGCGCGTTCCAAGTTTTGAGAATCAGCTGGTCTTCGGGTTGGAGTTTTTTCATTTCTGTCCACATGTGCTTGCTCGCCAACTCCGCTTTCTGTCGTGTGATTCTTTCCAAATCTTCATTCAGTGACTTGAACTTATTCACCCACATGTCTGAGGCCTTCAGGTCAGCCACTTCTGCTTCAAAATCTCTGACGGAGACACCAGGGATGTAATTCAGGTCGGCTGTGTTCAGTGAACACTCGTTTGGATGGGTGATGAACTTAAAAAGACGAGTGTGCTCACGAAATTCTCCAAAGCGTGCTTTGAAGGACTGTAGGAGACTGGATGTGCAGCCAGCTAGCTGGTGGAGATCAAGGTTTTGAATGGGCTCACTTGCTGTGCATGCATCTTTAAATTGGCTCAGTTTTTCAAAATGTAGTAAACGACCTGTTTCAAGATCCGTGATGAAAAGCTCCAGCTTGTTTTCAAAAGCAAATACAGCTTGTTGAAGGGATAACACTGTATTTCCAATGCCTTGCATTTTCACGTTGAGCTGGTTCAGATGTTCAGTCAGATCTACGAGATAGTAAAACTTGAGGAGCCACTCGGTGTCGGCTAGCTCAGGATGCCCGACGCCTTTCATTTCAAGGAAAGTCCGGATTTCGTTCAGGCAAGCCGCAAAACGGCTAAGCACCTTCCCTCTTGACAACCAACGCACATTGCTGTGCAAAAGCAGACCAGGATAGTTATTTACAACTTCATCCAGCAGTGTTTTAAACTGGCGATCATTTAAGGCTCGGGCAACAATAAAGTTGATCACACGAATGACCAGCGACATCACTTCGCCAAACTGCCTGTCACACATCTGAGCACAAAGTGCCTCCTGGTGTATAATGCAATGGAAACTTAGGATGGGTCTATTTTCATGTTCACGGAGAAGCGCCACAAATCCTTTGTTTTTCCCCACCATACACGGAGCACCATCAGTACACACTGAGAGAAGTTTATCCATAGGTAGACTTTTTTCTTGAGCAAACTCCATGAAAGACTTGAATAAATCCTCACCTCTTGTGGACCCTTTTAATGGCAGAACAGCAAGACTTTCTTCGCGCAGTGTGTCACCAACAGCATATCTTGCAATCACGCTGAACTGCGACAAATGGCTCACGTCTGTTGACTCATCCAAAGCCAGAGAAAAGAACGGCGCTGCATTTATGTCCTTCACTTGCGTTTCCTCCACTTTGTTTGCCATCACGATGGTACGATCATGAACAGTTCTTGCCGACAGAGGCATGTCTTGTATCCGTTTGATTATCTTGTCTTTGTTCGGAAGATCATCAAAAAGTTCATTGGCTACATCCAGCATGAACGTTTTAGCATACTCGCCATCTGTGAATGGTTTTCCGTTCCTCACTATTGCTAAAGAACCAGCAAAGCTAGCCGAATTATAGTCACCTTGCCGGGTCCATACACGGAGTTGCTGCTGGCTAGCTTGCACCCTGCTCAGAAGCTCTTGGCACGCTTTCTTTCTGCTGTCTCCCGCAGGGTATTTTGATGCAAAGGTAGCGTGGCGCGTGTCGAAGTCCCGCTTTACATTCGACCGTTTCAACGATGTAATTTTGTCATTGCAAATTAGACACACCGCAGAACCCGCTCTCTCCACAAAGGCGAATTCTTCGGTCCATTCGTCCTGAAATGTACGATACTCGTCGTCTTTTTTTCTTTTCGCCATCTTCTTCGTCGAAGGGTTAGCTTTGAGCTAATGACCGAGCAGACGCAGTCTCAGACTGATTCAAAAGGGGGCGTTTACCTGTTTTACCCAGCAACGGCAAACGTAGGCCAGTATCATCCAATTAAAATAATGGACAATTGCTCCTGCAACCCTGAACAGGACATGCACAGTGAAAAATCGATGGATGGATTAAAACAAGTGAGAATATTTTGTTTTATCTGCGAGCCATATGCAATCATCAAAAGAGCCACATCTGGCTCGCGAGCCATAGGTTCCCGACCCCTGGAGTAGAACAATCAGTTTCAAAGGCAATGTTTGTATAACATTATAGTTACATTATTATCAAAGACAATGCAATGTAACATTATAGTTACATTATTATTATTATCAAAGACAATGCCATGTAACATTATAGTTACATTATTATTAAAGACAATTTATATATATTATCAGAGCCACGTCTGTTTGCATGTTCACCACAAGTACTGTGCGTGGTCAATGCGATACTTAATTTCTTGAAAAAGGTTTCTATTAGGCGTTTGAACATGTTAACACACCTCCTGTTCTATTGCCAGAAAGGGTAAAACCTATTCTTATTTTCCATACGAGATGTACTAAAGTGGGCGCTGTGTTGTTGTTGTTGTTTCCCTAGAATTTATGGTCGTCACCCCAGAAAAAATGAACGCCATAGCAGGCAGTACGATTTTCCTGCCCTGCTCCTACACCTGTACAATCAGCGGCGTTAACCACACACTGGCGGAGTGGTTCAGGATCATTGATGGACGTGAAGAAAGGGTGAGTTATAAATCTCTATATCGTATTAAGACATCTAAATGTGGGAAACCTTGCCCAATGCGGCTTTTTCGAAAGCGTCGGTTTGTCAGAACACGGGGGGTGATCCATAATCGAGGTTGTTTTGGGTTAGTTCGCTTAAATATATAAATGTGTCGTCAAACCCGCCACGACCCGACACAGACAATAGTAAGGTTTGTCACATAAACAGAACGTGCCATACTTTTGGGGTTTTTTCGGTAAAGTCACGTAGGTAAAAAAAAGAAAAAACAACTAAATATAATCACGACGTTTCGGAGGCAACACAAGCTTCCGTCTTCAGGTGGAAACAGTCACAGCAGAAAGCTGTATCAAGTGAGGAGCTCTGAGACACACGAGATTATATACAGGCTGTTTCCCTATTCATAGTACATAATGGAAATTGATCTCGAGCATTCGAGTATATTTAAAAGCATTTATTAATTAAATAAAAAATGACATCACTTGAACCATGTACATGCAGTCATGAACTTACAAACATACAACTTACGAACGCGTCACAGGAACTAATTATATTCGTAGGTTGAGGACTGCCCATAATGTGCTACAGCTACTGCTGTATCTGTATCTGCTCACGTTCATTCTAGGACTCTAGGCATACGTAGCCAGTGGTGAAGGGTGGGTGGTGATCCAACCCCCATCTCAAAACACTCTCTCCCAGGGTTATATTGATAGACATTTTGGTAGACAATGCAATTAGTATGCGTGTGCTGGTAGACTGTTTGATATGTACAAAAGCTATGACGTCACATGGCATTGTGATGTCATAACGTCCGTACATATTACCGTGAATGAATAGGTCATATCCAGGTCTCGTGTATGTATGTACGTTGAGCTTATTTCGCATGATATGTAGCCAACCGTGCTAACTCTACATATGACCATCTCCTGAATAGTGATTCCAGTAAAAGGTATTCAACAAATGATAAAGACATTCTTATCCATCATCATGAGGCCTCCTCATGATGCGCCTTTTGGCGTCATCTGGTCGAACACCATATGAGACTGGGCTCTGAGAAAAGTTGTCTCTGGTGTAGACCAATCAATTTCAAGGACAATGCAGACATTATCAGAGTGCTGTTTTTTGTTTGCATTCTGACCGCAGGTATAGTGGTTAATGCAAACATGATTCCTTGTATAAAGGTGTCAGTTTTGTTGCCAGAAAAAAGGGTAAAAAACCTATTTTAACATTCTTATTCATTCTAGGTGCGAACTCCGGTTATCCTCACAGCAGCTTTTGGCTGGCCATCGAACAAAGATGGTCACCGCATCGCGTGGTGTCACATGCACTGCTGCGGCCATCTTGAATTCTCTGCCTTCCGATATTAGGAAGCCACTGGAGCTACGCACTTTTAAATCATCATCTAGATCGAAAACTCGTTTCTTTAAAACTGATGTTTGTATTTAGTTTGTTGTCCTTCCCCCGCACCTCGGATTAGCACGGTTGCCTATGTACTGTGCCAAAGAAGTTCAACATACATACAACATGCATACAACATACATACAACATACATACAACATACATACAACATACATACAACATACATACAACATACATACATCTTTGATCTGTGCATGCTCTCGCTTTTGTTGACCACAGCTTTATCAATACCCCAATGGAGATATACAATGGCCTTTACAGGCCACCTGGGTGGGTGATGTGTCAAAGTGCGATGCCTCCATCACCGTCAGTGACATCCAGACCCACGACTCTGGGCGATATCGCTGTGAGGTCACGGTGTATCCACAATACATGGAAGACATTGGGTATCTACAGCTGAATGTTAACAGTCCATCAGGTTTGTGTTATTTCCTTTAAACGTCGTCTACATTACCACCCCCAACTCTATCATCTATCCTATAGACCTGATATAGAACTCAACATGTACACTTTAGAGCCATGGGCCCAGTGCCACGGTGAACTGGGTTCAACCCCTGGCTACGATCTCATCACCATCAATGTACATCAGAACCTTTGACTGCTCCTCACCGACATTTATGCGGTCTTAGTTCATAGTTCATAGTTAATTTATTTGGTATAGCCCTGTGAGCCATTCGGCTCTTGAATCGGGTGCAACCGCAACAAACAAAAAACATGAACAAGAAAACATCTTAAAGTGACTATGTGACTGTGTAAACAGAAAATACAGGAAAAAAATATCAAAATATTCCTGAAATAGCACCGTACACCAACGCTGTGTGCAAAAATCCCAGTGGGATGCAAGTCAAATAACAACAACAACCACAAGACAACTAAGATTAAGGCCATCAGTCAACTCCGTACTACAATAAACAAAAACATGGCCAAAACAAAAAAAAACTTTTCGAAATCACCAAAATAAAAGCCATAAATCCAATGTAACAGTGATCATAGGGACTGTGACCGAATTTTTAACAATAAACTACATAAATAAATTATAACACCAAAATCTAGAGCCATATTTTAGGCCACTGAATAGCAGTGGCAGCTAGAGTTGTACAACTCCTCTAGAGCAGTTTTGAGTGAAAATCTCATAGGTAGTGATTCAAGTTGCAGTTTATTGGCAATAGCATTCCAGACCCTGGGGGCATCAATAGCAAAGGCCCTTCCTCCAGTTTTTGTACGGCAATAGGGAATGTGAAGCTGGTAAATGAGCGAAGACCTGAGGTCAAATTTGTTCTTTGAAACGGAGAGGAGATCCAGTAGGTAGTCTGCGGAATTTTTTGTAAGTACATCGTGAATAAATAAGATCTGGTGCACAAGCACCAGATCTTATTTAAGTTTGACCCAATGTAGAGATCACAGTGGTGAGTCCTATATGGCAGTTCAATGCAAATCTTAAGGCCGAGTGATAGATGGAATCAAGCTTCTTCAGTACAGTACTTGGGGCTGATTTATACACGATGTCACAGTAGTCAAGTAGAGGCAGTATGGTAGCTTTTATCAATTCCAAACAGAACATTGGGGGGAAGCAGTGCTTGTGTCCATACAGAAAACCAATTTTTATTTTTGTCTTTTTACCAATATAATCAATGTGATCATCAAAACTAAGTTTTGAATCCAGGATGACCCCAAGATACTTATAGATCTTGACTTGCTCTATTTGATAATTATTCAAGGAATGTAATTGGGGAAAAATAACTTCCTGCTTTAGTCCCGGAGAGAAGCATAGCACCTTGGTTTTGGAGGTATTCAGGACTAGTTTAAGAGAAACTAGCTGATGTTGTAGTTTGTTGAAATCACCCTGGAGCTTAGCAATCACGTCATCCGGAGAGCGGCCAGCAGTAATCATCTTAAAACAACGTCGCATAGCAGGTGGCTCAGAGGTCAGAGTGCTGAGCTAGCGCCACTCAGAAGCATGGGGTCAAGTCCAGACATTTGCCTGCGAGGTAACCGAGTCCTAAGTCGAGTGAGTTGATGGACTAAGCTTCCCTTTCTGCAATTTTGCACTTAATTGACGAAATTTAAACTCTGAGAATTAAAACGTATCTAGTTCATTGCCACGTGATAAGCGCTGTTCCACGTGGAAGAGCAATCTTGGAAAGTCTTGCTCCCAACTGTGTAGACCAGCAGAGGTCGCTTGAAGGAATCTCAGAGTCAGCTCTGTGATATCCGTTCTGTGGACTGTTCTCTAGCAAGACACGTTGCACTACTCTGTGAGCAATCCAAATTAATCTTTATGTTAATGACGGGACACAGGGATAACATTTCCGAATGACAAAACATACAGAGGAAACCCTTGCCCAACACAGCTTCATCTAACGCGTGTTTTGGCTCTAGACGGTTGTGGCTGATGGGGTTTGTTTTCCACAACACGGGGGTGATATTTCAGTGATACGCAGTTTGACGCTGCTAACATTTTCGTATCTGCATATAGAAAAGGTAGTCACGTGAGAGTGCTGCGTCTGGTGGAGTGTCAATTGACTGTGAGAACGATGTATTTACCGTGTATGTCTGTGTGCGCGTGTGAGTATGGTTTTTTGTATGATAATGTAATGCACTCAAAACGCACAGCAACAGCAGCACAACGTAAATATTCACACATTACAGCATGAATCTAGTTATTGAGAACGTTAGTCATACGGACGACGAGATGGTGAATCATTAATGTTCAAGTGACAGTGTTAGTGGCGAGCGTAGGGTGTGAGTGCCGTGGTGCGGGAAGAATGGAGGCGGGGGTTTTGTGTTGCGTTGAAATTGACAAAGAGTGTACACACACAAAGAAGACATGAGAACGACTCAGAATCCGTTAGTACATTAATGAGGGCGGGAATCTTGTAGTATTAGTTAAACAAAGAGGGAGGGGGTGATCATTTCGAAGACACGAAGGCAACCCAAGTCTTCCCACGAGGTCTATTTTGTTGTTTAACAAAGTAGTGCCCAACATGTTCCAAGAACGTAACCCCCCTGCGTTCGACGAGGTCTGCTGTTCTGTACTTAAAAAATTAATTGTTCTAGATTTGAAACTTTCGTGACTGCAAGGATCCATACTCTTTGGTTCTATTCGGTAAAGTCACAATACCTACTTTACTTGGAATGGCTCCTTCTACAAACAAAATGAGGGTACCCCCATGGGATCCCCCTTGTCACCAGTGATAGCCAATATTTTCATGGAGAAATTTGAATCAGACGCCATCCAGACTTCCACCCTCAGACCTTCCCTGTGGAAGAGATATGTAGACGACACTTTCGTCATTTGGCCACATGGCCTCCCGCCTTTGAACCTTTTCCTAGACCACATTAATGCCAGACACTCCGCCATCAAGTTCACCATGGAAGTGCATAAAGATGGCAAGCTGCCATTCTTGGATGTTCTGTTTGAGAGGAGACCTGATGGTTAATTGGGACATTCTGTCTACAGGAAACCCACCCACACAGATTCCTACTTGAAACCTGATTCCCACCACCACCCGACGCAAAATAATTCTCTAATCAAAACGTTATACCACAGGGCTCATTGCATTTCAGACCAACAACACTTGACCAGTGAATTAAAACACGTGCATCTGGCCCTCAAAAGGAATTGTTACTCTGACCGTACCATCCGCCAAGCTGTTTCTCCCTCCATACAGAAACAACCACTTGATACTTCGATCAAAACCATCAGACTGCCATATATAGCAGGCGTTACTAAAAAGATCTCCGATACCAAGGTTCTCCAAAATTCTAAACAAACACAAGATCCTGGTCCGGTTCAATACAGTACACAAAATCCGTGACCTGATCCCTTCCGTGAAGGATGTCATTCCTGACTTACAGTACCCCGGAGTTTACAAATTGAGTTGTACCTGCGGTGATTGCTATATCGGGGAGACGAAACGACATGTCTCTGACCGAATTCGCGAGCACAAATCAGATGTGAAACACGGCAAAACGAATTCTTCTGCCGTAGCTGATCACTGTTACAATGCTGTGGGTGATCACGATATAATTTTCTCCGATACCAAGGTTCTTTACAAACCCACGGGTTTTTTTTATCAGAGATTTGTTCACGAGGCAATTCAGATTTACAAACACAGACACAATTTCAACTGAGAAGGTTTCAAATTAAGCAACCATTGGAAAAATGTTCTAAATCGAACCAAACATTAAACTAATTTCAATGGTACAGTATATTTTATCAAGTAGTGGTATTCCAAACTTTTGCAGCTGCTTAAATTCCCCTTTCACACCATCAATACGTAAAGTACCCCTTCCCCCCTCGCCGGTCTGCACATGTTCACCCCCTCTACACCGTTCATCATGCTAAGTCCGCCAATTTAATGCAAATTTTTATGCTAATTCATTTGTCAAGGCACCTTAATTACTCCCACACAATTCTAGATTTAAAGCTTTCGTGACTGCTAGGATCCATACTCTTTGGTTCTATTGGTATTTTCACCTACGTGACTTTACCCAATAGAACCAAAGAGTATACTCCCACACAGCTTAAAGGTCGCGGTCTGAGCTTGGCTGTGTTCACTCCAGCGCTGTCCTCGAGACAGTCTGGTCCCTTCACCTGATGAAGGCCACTTGTGTTGTGGCCGAAACGTCGTGATTTTTTTTTTTTTTACCTACGTGACTTTACCGAATAGAACCAAAAATGCATTGTTACTGACAAATGTTTTGCGTTTATACATTTACATTAGATAAGAAAATATACTAATGTGGGCATTGTGTGTGGTTTCCTTAGATCTGGTGGTTGTGACCCCAGATAAAATGAACGTCATAGCAGGCACTACATTTCTGCTGCCCTGCGTCTACTCCTGTACAATCAGCAACATTACTCACACGCTGGTGGAGTGGTTCAGGATCATAGACGGGCATGAAGAGAGGGTGAGTTACTCCTCTGTCCGTTCTGTGTGCCACCTGCCACAAAATATCAGCAAGCACAGGCATGGAATTGATCAGTATTGTTCGTAAACCTGATCACGTGACTCTTGAGCATTTACAATATGCAACGCAGATGAAATGGTTTGGTATTTTATATCCAGATCGAGGGCCCCTGGTCACATGACTGGGCAGAGGCATGGGCCAGTCATTTGAAAACAGTCTCCACGTGAAGCTCCTTTGTCAACAGTTAATCCAGCCCAGTCGCAGCCCTGGGGACAGAATAATTCTCGGGTTTTATCTGAACGAATTTTATACTGAAATAATATAACGCGTTTGATCTGTGTGCTGCTTCTACCTTTATTGACCACAGATTTATCAATACCCCGATGGAGAGACCAGAAACTGGCCATTACAGGCCACCTCAGTGGGTAATGTGTCCAAGTGTGACGCCTCCATCACCGTCAGCGACATCCAGACCCACGACTCTGGGCGATATCGATGTGAGGTCTCGGTTTATTCCCCAACTGTGCAATACCACATTGGGTATCTACTGCTGACTGTCTACCCACGAACAGGTTTGTATCACGTCCTTCATAGGTCTGTCCTACCACTCACTACTCCCATCATCTGTCATGTAGCCCACACTTAGCACTCAATATCCACCCTACAAATCCACGTTTTACCTTTCGTGTTTGGTTTGTTGTCC